GTACGAGAAGTATCTTTTGCATGTTGCGTGGTCGCACACAGTCGACTCCTGGTCGGGCTAATATCATCAGAGTCAGCGCGTTGTCCTGATCCCGTATTCTATTCCGACATCGCCGCGTGCGCACAGAGAAGCAAGACTGCGTCAGGCGGGTGCACAAGCAAGCGACGTGTGGTGCAGGCATATAAGACATCTGCAGGGCTTATCTGGAACATACCTTCCAATGCTTCCGAGTGGGCGTTCCCGTGGGTTTGGGGAACGAGTTGAGATTCAACTGGTCGTCGACGCACTTGCCGCTGTCGCCTGTCGATCTCCTGCTCAGGCGGCCCAATGCGCTCAGACCGCCGAGGCTGATGAAGCTGCTGTTTGGCCGCAGAGTGCGCTCCTCGGCCCCATCATCGTCCTCAGGCTTCGGCCTCGGCGGTGGGGCCTTTGACGGGAACTCGTTCGGACGCAGCACGGCGGGCATGTACAGCGGGCGGATGGGGCGACCGAGGTAGTTTTTGGGCGACGTCGGCGACGCATTGCCGGGCGTGCTGAGGGGGGAGATTTGGGGCTGGTTGTTGGCATTACTATTGTTGTTGTGGTGCGTCGGGATGGCCTGCGTGAAGCCGGACGACTGCTGGAACAATTGGGGGTTTGCTTGCTGCTGTTGCTGGTGGTCCGGCGCGCGGGGCATGACAAACTCGGTCGCCATGGTGGGTAGGTGGTCGGTTTTCTATCGTCCTTCTATCGCGTGCTTCTATCGTATCGCTCGCTTCTGTTGCGGGCGCGCCCGATCTCGCAGGTCTGGGTCGGCAAGGGCACCACGGCGCGCGGCGGGTAGAGCGCGGGCAGTGGGGGTCAAGAGAGTCGCGCGCACGCGGGCAGCGACAAGAGGCCGTTGCGAAACGAGCAAACCTCCAGCCCGTGATCGCCAACACTAGGGCCGAGTAAAGTTTGAAGCTCCTCGAGGGGGTTGACACACTCTCGAGTCGGCGTGAGAGGCGAGGCGGCCCTGGATATAGAGAGGTGGTGGTGCAGGGAGAGAAAAGCGCCAGGTCGGGTCGGGCTGGGAGACAGCGTCGGAAAAGTGACCTCGAGTTCCCAGGCCTGGGCAGTCCGCTCCGCTTCCCACGAGCGGCGAAGGGGAAGTTACCACTCGGCAATTAGCGGATGGGACTGTGAGACGGCTGGGGCGCTGGGCTGGCGCGGTACAGTCGGGGGCTCGTCCTGCAAGACACAGAAGTGCCACACCCGAGCTAGAAGCCTTTCGAGTTAGAACCCTCGATGAGCCCGTCCGTGGTGTGCAGGATGGGGCTTGGCTCTGGGCTGGTTCGGGAGTCTGAGACCGCTCGAAGACGGATATGGGGCAGGGCAGCGGGTTAGGTTGTCGAAGCCTGTGGATCGGCGACAGCAGCTTTGTCGGGTCAAGTGCACAGCTAAACCTTCGGAAACCTGCGCAGGGCAGAGCGAGGTTACTTGTAAGTTGCAAGCAGGTTGGGCACGGCGAGCGAGCCGCAAAGAGACAGACTCCAGTCCTTATCACCTAGGGCGATTTCTTATGGTATGGGCACCCATAACTAGTCGATGGGTGCCGGGCAAAGGGCGGTGTCGGTGGACCCGTGGGTAGGAAGTGGAAAGCAAATCCGCAACACGAAACCCTGTCCCTGTTGCTGCCGCCCAACTTACCGCAGACTCAACTCATGGCTGTTTTGGCTGTCTTTCCGCGGTAATATGACGCTTCGATCTCAGGGTCCGTGTCTTATCGCCTGCACATCATCGAAATGCTGATAAGTGATTGACTGGGCTGATGACATTCGCGGTTGCGGCGATTGGATTGGGCGGGGGCGATTGGGAGGCCGGGTGGGACAAGAATGCAAAAGCCGTTACTTGAACATCAACCCTTGTACAGCGTTGTGGTTTCTCGAAGGCTTGTCGGCTAATCCGCCAGGGGGACACCATCCGAGCCTGTGCGCAGATGGGGACTCTCGCGACCAGACAACTGGGGAAGACGGAACATCCATTCAGCGCAAGAGAATGGCCACCTTCAGCTGTCTTACAATCAAAATACATTAAAATATGGGGACTGCAGCGAGACATCGGGGCTACGCTGTCTAGCCTTTATGTGACAAGCCGTTGCATACGACCGACCGGCGGGTGGCCCGCGTCTGAGCCTGAGGCTGTCAAAGGCGGTGAGGGGTTTTGCCGAGCCCGGGCGGCAGCGCCTCAATCATTGTCTGCGTCAGCTCAACTTCAAACCTTTGTGGAAGCCTGTGATTGACACAAGGTGGCACTTCGTCTCGAAAGCTCCTCGGTCGCAAACAACCCCGCCAATCCACCCCGCCACCATATTGAGCGGCAATTTTCAACGCAAACGACAAAGTGGGCCGAGATTTGACAGTCTCCACAATCTGCGACGCGCATCCCGCCCACTCGACACCGACGGCGACAACGACGACGGGGCTTCACGACCGACCGTCCAGCCGCTCCCCGCACGTCCCGCTTCGCCAACCGAACCGTTAGCCTCTAGCCAGAGACTGGCCTCGGAGCGTCTAAGCCGCCCAACATGAAGGTCTACTACATCGGCGTATGTGTCCCTCCACAGCGCTGCTACATAGTGTGGGCGTGGCAGGGCGCTTGTTAACTCAGCGACCAGGTTCTCGACAACAGCAAGCAGCCGGCTGTTGTGCTTGCCGGCGAGCACGAGCTCAGCGACTTCTCGCGGTTCACCAGGAACGAATATGCCAACTTCATGACCATGATCGGCAAGACGGTGGCGGAGCGGACCAGACCTGGACAAAGGCAGAGCGTCCAGGAGCAAGGTGCGTTTGCGTTTGCGCCTGCACGTCGCCAGTAGGCCTCCGCTGACACAGCTGTCCAGACTACGTCGTGCACTGCTACGCCCGGTCTGAGGGCGTCGCTGGCGTCATCATCACCAAGGACTACCCCAACATCGCCGCCCACAGCGTCCTCTCGAAGCTGATGGACGAGTTCCTCGCCGAGAAGCCTCTCGCCTCGATACAAGGCAAGACCAAGGACAACGAAGTCCCCTTCCCGAAGCTGAAGGAGTACATCGTCAAGTACCAGGACTCCAACGAGGCGAGCAGCATCGCCAAGATCCAGCAGGAGCTTGACGAGACCAAGATCGTCCTGCACAAGGCCATCGATAGCGTATGTCTCCCCGCCCCGAACCCCCCTGAGGCGTAGCTGATATTAACCCCTTTTCAGGTCCTCCAACGAGGAGAGAAGCTCGACGACTTGGTGGCCAAGAGCGGTGACCTCAGCGCCCAGAGCAAGGCCTTCTACAAGACGGCCAAGAAGCAAAACTCGTGCTGCGTGGTCATGTAATTCACCCATGGGGGCTAGCGATGTGACTTGCGAGGGGTTCGATGATGCACACCATTAAATATGCACAGATATCCATTTTCGCGCTCGAGGAGTTCAGGAGTGGTACACAGTTATTCGCCGTTGTATACGAAGCCGAAACCGCCAGGCGCGTGGGAGTGGAACCGGCGTGATTCCATCTAGGGTAGTTAATAAGGACTTGGAACAACAATGCTGTTTCCGTTCGTGGGGTGTTGGTTTGACTCGGATGACCGTTTAGCTTCATCGCCAGCGTGACTCGTGCTGACTGACACCAGGTGGTTGATCGGGAAGTTGCTGAAACCGAGACCGTCGCGCTCTTTCAAAGATATGCGACTGGGTGGGTAGATTCTATATGTCGTGGGGGACTTGGCTGATATGTAGAAATAACGGCTCGTGTTCCCTCGGTGCCTTCACAAATCCAGGGTCCAGTCCAGCTGTCAAGCAAAGGCAAGGTCGCGGCTCAATCAGGTACCCCGCGTGTGTTGCTACCCGCCCTACAAAAAATAGGGTACCGATAACTAGGGTCTCACGGAATTCGAAGCACGTGCATTGACAGCCAGCTATCAGACCACCCCTCATCAAGATTAAAGCGTCGCATCAGAAGATCGAGAGATGCGCCCGATCGATGTCCTCAAACCAGACATACTTTCTCTGTCCCGCATTTCCGGCGTCATGGATCGCTGGACTAATAAAGCAGATCAGATTCATTGCCTGTCGATTCTTGCCCCCTTTGCCTTTTACTGGCGCGCTTCCATCTCGGGTCGTAGTCAAACATAGCGGTGTCGCTCCGGTGTCCTCATTCGGGAAGGTCCGACCAGTGGAGTTGAAAGAGGAGTGTCCTGATTGGCTATAGCACAAAGAAGAAAACAAGGTTATCGCAGTGCTCTGATTGGGCGGTGCTCAGGCGGGGCTCTCCCTCTCTGTGGCCATCCATCTGGGGCGATCGGGGTTCCAACAGTTTTGGGCCCTTTTGGAATCAGATCGTCGCCGTCAAGAGTGCCGCTCCAGTGTGCGGGGTTGAAGCAACCTTGCTGTCTCACTCCATCCATGATGGTGGTTAGAAAAGAGAAAGAGGAGCAAAAAGAGCCAGTTTTGGTCTTTTGCGCTGCGCTAGGGAGCTCCTCAGGGTCGCCTTACTCCTCATCGGCCTTACCGCCCCTTGAATTTGTTACGTCATTAGAACTTCGGAATTGGCCACTCAGCTTCGCCGGAATGACGAACTCTCGGATCGTGCCCCCGACAAGGATGGCTTTCGCCGATGGCCGGTTCCGACGTTGGATGGCAATACAACCGAAAGGCTCCTTACAAATCGGTCAGATTATTTTTCCTTTTCTTTCTTTTTGGCAGGCGGGGCGGAGGAAGCACTTTACGAGTTGCCAGGCCCGGTGAAAGGCGAAGTTGAGGCAAAGCTCGGTCAGCGCGGAGTAAACAATGGAAAAGGGGGTTGAAGGAAACTCCAACCCCGCTCAACTTGAGACAACCAACCAAATTGAGAAACAGCCCAGTCCCTTTCCCAAACCTCCACTTTAACCCTCTCACAACCCTAGTGCTTACGAAGTAGAACAAGACGCCTTCCACAACTCCACCTCCTATTCAAAACCCAACTCCATAAACTTACCGAAACCCACACCCACCCATCACCAACAAGGTTCTCCGGTTTCGTGGTCTAGCGGTATGATTCTCGCTTAGGGTAATAACCTAAGCACATTTGTTCTCCTGAACAAAAAACATGCGAGAGGTCCCGGGTTCAATCCCCGGCGAAACCCCAACCCAATCACCATCATCTTGATCAGGTCCAGCGCCTGGTTGAGGTAATTTCTTTTTTGCTGTCTTGGAAGTCTTTTTAGGGGGGTTGGTTTAAAGACAAGGCGGCGGCTGGAGCAATTAGGGAGCTCCAGTAGGAAGTTGAGAAAAACCAACCAACTGAAAGGTCATCCAGCAGGCGGGCTGTTTGGATGTACATGGATAGCATTGCATCCGTGGATGGAAGCGGCCTGTCTAGACTGGCAGCGATTCAGAATGTCGCCGCCGCTCTGGCAAAGAGAGACAAAAAGGCTCCCAGGAGGGGGATCACTAGACAGTTATAGATGGTTGAGATTCCTTATGGTGAAGATGGATGGTGCCAACTACGATGGCTGCTGTCAGGCGGTAGCGTCACGAACAGGTGGTGACCACGTCTTGTCGAAGTGTATATCCCAGCAGAGATCAAACACACTGGCACACTGGCACATAATACGGTGTTATTCTTAACTTCATCCATTCAATTGTCCTTAGACTAGGTATGTACCTGCCATCCATCCACCACCCCATAACCACCCTTCCCTTCCTCTCCGCCATCCGCCGATATAAATTATATAAAAACCACCCACCGTCAAGTCGAATCCACGACCCGACGCGGCCCAATCCAACCAAAGCGAGCGTGACGAGGCCTACCCAAGCACATCATCACAACTCTCTCCCAATCTCAATCTCTCATGCACCAGGCTAATGAAGAGAATGATACGCAGCGCATGGCAGGTATTCTACCACCGCTCTACAAAAGTACTCTGCAATAAAGGGGTATATCCAGACAAGAACAACAACAACAACAACAACAACAACAACACCAAAAGAATGGAACAGAAGAGAAAACATGAGAAAAAAAGGGACTCGCTCAAATGTATATACAATGACGTAGTGCTTGCTCACTCATCAAGAGTTCCTCACCTCCTCGGAAGGGTATCTTCCACTCTCCTTGGTTTTTCATCGTCCATCATCATTTCGAATCCGACTTCGTCAGGCGGATTATGAATACCCGGGATGCCCACGACGCCAGGGGCATTCAGCACAGGGGGAGCCGAAGATTGCGGTTGCTGCTGTGCGCGCTTGATACGGCCTGTTTGCTGGTCAACCCAAGAGTTGACGGACCGGAAGCGAGGCGGTTGGTCCTCGCTGGCTTGGGTGTAGACCGTGTCTCTCTTGCTTGGTTCTTGCGACATCCAAGAGAAGCGAGGATAGCCGTTTGGAGCTGGTGCCCCTGTTCCCGGGTAGGCGTTGGGTGGTATTTGTGGTACCGGGGGCGCGACGCCCGGGACGATGATGTCGCCGTCTCCGAAGCCTGAGGAGAGCGATGAGAGCTCGCTGTTGCGATTGCCTTGGCGGCGCAGCCTCTCGGATGGTGCTCGCGCAAGGTCCGACTGGTTGTAATATCCATGCCCTATATCGGGGCGTAGTTGGCCGGTGCTGGTTATGGCAGTCATTGTGCCAAACTGGGCGGCGTTGGTAGAACTGAAAGAGTCCTGCGTCGAGTGGGAAAACGGAAGAACATTCGAAGAGGCCATCGTGTGGGCTGATATGTCTCCCCTCGTTGACTTCGCCGCACTTACAGGGTTCGAGCTGAGAGCGCTGACTGGGTGCGAACTCAGCGGCCTGGCGCTGGACGGGGTATGGGTTGGGATCGGCGGTGCCGCAGGAATGCCTGTGGTCTGTAATCGGGGAAGCTGAGGCTTATCCTGCCTCGCTTCATCTTCAGCGTGGTAAGAATACCCCTTTTCGTGCCCATAGAAACCTCCCAATGGGATAGACTTCTTGGGAGCAGCTTTCTCGGACGAGTATGTTGGTGGCCGATCTCTGACCACCTTGGAGTCGCCCAAGTTTTCCCAGGGCCGGTCGTCGTCCCTGTTGCGTATCTTCAACGGTGATCGAAAGGTGAGGCCTCTCGGCCAGAACTTGTGGAAGTTGAGAGTGCTGCTACTGCTCTCCCCGTTCTGCTTCCTCTTCTTGACCCTCCGAAACACCAACCACACAATTGAGACAATCATTACAAACGCAGCTGGCAAGGGGTCAGCTTGACATTTTACGCACGCGAGGGTTACATAACACCTACCGATGGAGCCAACAGAAATCATGGCACGCTCAGCCATAGGATCCATGCCCTGAGGAGCTTCACTGGGCGCTCCTTCGGCCGTGGTGCCTGGACTCGGCGCTGCTGTGGTGGGGCTATCTCCAAGGCCGCCGATGCCTCCTCCAACGAGAACATTGCCGCCGTCAGGCACGGTGGTGGTGGTGCTTATCGCGGGCGCATATGCCAGCGGACTTGTTCCTTGGTCCGGCAGAGCCGTTGGGGACAGTGCAGGATCTGAAACACTAGGAGATAATACACCCGAAGAGACGGCACCGGTAGTATCGCTCGGAGATGGCACCGGGACAGTTGAAGCACCTCCGGGTGTCTCCACTGGCTGTGGAAGAAAGGTTGTGACAGTGTTTGGACTTATCTGAAGGGGTTGTCAGCAATGATCCAATGCTATGATAGACCAGACCTCATGGTTCTTACCGAAGGGGTAACGGTCATGGTCGATACTTGAACGACGGTCGTAGGTTCGGGCGGAGGTGCCACTACGGCAGGCGTTTCAGGCGGCGGAGGTGCCGCGGTGGTTTCTGGAGGGGGTGGAGGAGCCTCTGTCGTTGGTGCCGGTGCCGGTGCTTCTACCGGAGCTGCGGTTTCCTTGTCGTTGTTGCCGCCACCTCCTCCACCACCTCCGCCTCCGCCTCCGCCTCGGTTGTTCCCACCCCTGTTTCGTCCGCCTCGGTTTCCCCCATTGTCCTCATCCTCGTCATCGCTGTCATTATTGTTTCCTCCGCCCCTGCCCCTCCCTCCGCCGAAGCGGTTACCGCCGCCGCCGCCACCGTCCCTGTTGTTGTCATTATTACCGCCTCGGCCTCCACCACCACCACCGCCTCCACCACCACCACCGCCTCCTCCTCCACCACCGCCACCAAATCGGCCGCCGCCGCCGCCGTTCCTACCACCACCTCGGTTCCGGCCCTCCCCATCGCCGTCTTGTCTGGTATCGAGATTTATTCTCCGTAGTATTCGGAGCCCCTCCCCTCTCTCCTTTCGTACCTCGCCCCTCCGCCGTAGTGTCGATGGTGCCATTGCCTCTCCCCCAGGCATCCTATCTGGTTCTAGGAGTCGCCAGCCCGCGGATCGGCTTATGAGGCGCAGTGGCAGGATGCCTCCGCTATCATGAATGCCTTTGGCTCAAGTCGCGTGATGGGTGAAGCAAAGTTTGTTCCCTCTCTATAGGGCCGTCGGAGATTTTCGAAGGGATTGGGAAAGCTGGGGAAACAACGGGCCCGCGTAGAAAACACACAAATACGAAAATTAAAGGATTGGAAGGCCCGCCTTGGGGGAGAAAGGAGAAGAAAAGAGAATGACTGGAGTAGAGTGAAAGGAAAGAAAGTGTGGAGGACGAGTGCTTGGAGCAGATCAACAAAGTGCCGAGCTTTCAGCATAACGGATCAAGCCCCGAGTAGCCTCCCGCGACAAGGATTCCGGTCGAGTGACACTCTGGGGTGGGCGAAAGATGGGACACACGATGCTCGCCTGGGCCATTTTGCCGGAGAGTCCCCAGACGTGGTATACCAAGGGCTCGACGTGTCTCAAAGATCGAGGATGCGCATCACGCACCCCGGGGTCTAGCGGGGAGCCATGACCTCAAGCCTCAGGGGACAGCAATGATGGGAGCTGGATGCGGGCAGGCCCGCTCCATCTTGTCCGCATTGGGGTCGGAGGTGTAGCAGACAGTAATGCTGCTACCGCCGTGCTGCATGTTGTGGTACTGTCGGGGATTGGTGGTGGGTAACCAGCCTGAGCCAGCCCATCGCATCACGGGCAGGGCTGCTGGGCTGGGGAAGCATCTCATCGGCGCGCGATAGCCCAGGGGGGGTGCTCGACCTGGATGCTGCTGACTGCAGGCATCAGCCATGGAGCAGATCATGGGCCATGGAAGGGGTGTGCGAAGTGATGAAGGTCTCGATCGATCAGTCAACTGTGTAGCAGGACGGCGCCGGAAGCGTCGCTCCCACTCAGCATTGACTGGCGTGGGCGAGCATCGCGGAGGAGTTGCGACAACGAATGACGGGAACGACAGGGGGGTGATGTCTCAGCCTGTGATGCAGCGTTTCAGCGCGTCAAGCGACAGGGGTTGGTGCAGCGAGCCCAGCGACACAGTTGACACTCGGACGCCGCAACTCGCGAGTTTCAACTGGCTGCCTCTGTATCCGGGCTCCGTACAGCGTCAAGAAAATGGAATTGCGGCCTCCACGCTGCAAGGGCCTCTGGTGTGCAGATTCCATCTGATGAGACGAGACTGCTGCGCTGCAAGGTGAGGAAATCGACTCGATCGTCCGATGTTGAGATTGAGGTGTCGCCGGCAGGGGAGTTACCTTACTTGTATAGCATCCCAGGCTGCTCTTTCCATCATCGGCCTTGCAACCACAGCAAGACGCTCCCCGTATTCTTCGCAAAGCTGGTCCCCGCCGTGGCGGCGCAAACTCGTTCGCCCACTGATTTGAATTATGGGAACGATCAAGTGACGATGCGTGTTTGGTGTCTTGTCAGCCTAAAACCCAAGAAATTCCCGGCGAATGGCTCTTAGCGTTTAGCATTGACGTCAGAAGCCGAAAGGCGCATCGAGGAGATGATCCGGCTCGTAGAATTCCAAGAACCGCACACACGGAATAATGTTTCGCGAAGCCCAGTATGGCACCTGGATAAGCCCCAAGCCATGTGGGCGACTCACAGGTAACCACGGTAAACTTGGAAGGATTCCAAAGTGGTGATGGCAGCATCACGTTCTTGCGCGTGGCCCAATGCGATCACTGGGCGATCAATCATGCCTGAGGTGCGAGCTGGCAGTCGGCGAGCTTGGCTTGGGGTAGCACTTTGACGGAGACTCTCCTCGTGTCAAAAAGTCCTGGCAGGCAGAAAAAAAAAAGCCCCGAC